CAAAGATGCTGCTTTGAAGCAAGAACTAGAGACTCCTCCAAACAGCTGCATCAAAATTCTTTCCAAGCTGCTACCTCAAAGTTCCTTCCAAGCTGCTGCTTTGAAGCAAGAATTGGGGACTCCTGTATATGGATTTTTATTGCATTAGGAAACAAAACCTTTAAAGCATTAAGACAGCCCTTTGATGTCCCTGCCAAAAAGGATGTGGTTGGTTCACAAGACACATTGCACTGCTGGCCTCAGGCTCCTGGTCCAAAGGGGCTTTGTCTGCCTTGCCTCTGCCTCTGGGCCGTGGGAGAGTCGGGGCGGGGGGAGCTCACCCGGTGGCATGCGCATGCATGGGCAGTTGGGTCACAGTGTCATGGCCAGAGGCTACTCCATGCCGCTGCGCAGGATCTGGTTGGCTGCGATCAACATCACGCTGATGATGAAGGCCATGGCGAAGGCGCAGATAAGGCTCTTCCGCACGCAGGTCTGGCGGTTCTGCTTCTGGGAATGCACTGCAGGGACACAAGGGAAGGAGGAGGTGGTCAGAGAAGGGAAGGGTTTGCTTTCCAGTAGGGTCACAGCTCAGAAAACATCCTTTGTGTCTCGTTAATAACTCAACATAACTCTTTTGTTCATGCTTTGGAGATCCCCTGCCCCGTCCATCACTTCCAACCCAACCTTCCTAACAGGCCACTCCCTCATGCTGCAGGAAGTCCTCTCTCTCTCTTTCTCTCTCTCACCTTGGCTTTGAAACTGTTCAAATGCTTGCAGGGTGTTTTAGTTTGTCTGTGTATTTCTTTTAAGCTCTTTATGAAGTTGGAAGCATAAGAGACCTAGAATCATAGTATCATAGTATGTTAAAGGGTTGGAAAGGACCTTAGAGATCATCAAGTCCAAGTCCCTGCCAAAGCCAGAGACACCTTCCATTAGCCCAGGCTGCTCCAAGCCTCATCCAACCTAACCTGGAACACTCCAAGGGATGGAGCAGCCACAACTTCTCTGGGCAACCTGTGCTAGTGCCTCAGCACCTCACAGGGAATTCCTTCCCAATATCCCTTCTAATACTGCCCTCTGGCAGTGGGAAACCAACCCCCCTTGTCCTGTCCCCCCAGGCCCTTGTCCCAAGTCCCTCTGCAGCTCTACTGGAGGCCCTTTAAGGCACTGGAAGGGGCTCTGAGGTCGCTCTGAAGCTTCTCTTCTCCAGGCTGAACAACTCCAGCTCTCCCAGTCTGACTCCATGGCAGAGGTGCTCCAGAATCCTGGGATGGTTTAGGATAGAAGGAACCTACAAGACCATCCAGTCCCACCCCCTGCCATGGGCAGGGACACCTCCCACTAGCCCAGGTTTCTCTAAGCCCCATCCAACCTGGCCTGGAACACTTCCAGGGTTGGAGCAGCCACAGCTTCTCTGGGTAACCTGTGCCAGTGCCTCAGCACCTTCACAGGGAACAATTCCTTCCATATATCTAACGTAAACTTCCCTTCTGTCAGTTTGAACCAAGTTCTCTAAAGTTATTTAATAAGAAATATCAGTCTTGTGTGAGTCGCTCAGACTCATCCAGGTGAACTGGGAATGAGCAGAGATCAAGATCTGCTCCCTGACGACATCTAAACCCTCATCACCATGAGTGTTCCCAATGATTATGCACAATATGTTAGTCATTTTTCAAACTGTCTTCAGGTCTCTGTGCCTAAGCAAAATCATATTTATTAAGAAGCTTTTGAAATGAATCCAGGCAGAATAATTGCCCAGAGAGGTGAGAGTCATTTGTGCAGTTAAAAAGCAGCAGAGTTGGGATATGGGGTGTTGGACTTATTTATATCATTTTATTTTCTCTTAAGCTCATCAGGGAGGATTTGTGCTGGGACTTGCTAAAGCCACTTCATGTCTGTCTCAGCCTCTCTACCTATGAACCATTGAATCTCCTGGGCTGGAAGGGACCCACAGGGATCATCAGTCCAACTCCTACCCTGCACAGGACACCCCAACAATCCACCCTGAAAGCATTATCCAAACACTCTCTGAGCTCTGTCAGGCTTGGGGCTGTGACCACTGCCCTGGGGAGCTGTTCCAGTACCCAAACACCCTCTGGGGGAAGAACTTTGTCCCAATATCCAACCTAACCCTCCCCTGACACAGCTCCAGCCATTCCCTCAGGTCCTATCACTGTCCCAGAGAGCAGAGCTCAGATCTACCCCTGCACTGCCCCTTGAGAGAAAGGTGCAGACCCCCGAGGTCTCCCCTCAAATGTTAGAACAATGTCTGCTATTGGGGTACTGTGGAGATTAATCAGTTTGAAAAGGCCTTGAAGGTTCACTAAGATAACAATAGAATCATTAAGGTTGGAAAAGAGCTTTAAGATCATCAAGTCCAACCATCAACCAGCACATCACCATGTTCACCACCAAATCATGACTTCAAGAGCCATATTTACACACTCCTTGAACACCTCCAGGGATGGTCACTCTGCCACCTCCCTGGGCAGCCCCTTCCAATGCCTGACAGCCCTTCCAGTGAAGGAATTCTTCCTGATGTCCAAATTGAACCTCCCCTGGCACAGCTTGAGGCTGTTTCTCCTTGTCCTGTGCCTTGTTCCCTGAGAGCAGAGCCTGACCCCACCTGGCTGCACCTCCTGCCAGGGAGTTGTAGAGAGTGAGAAGGTCCTCCCTGAGCCTCCTTTTCTCCAGGCTGAGCCCCCACAGCTCTCTCAGTCTTTCCTTGTCTCCAGCCCCTTCCCCAGCTCTGTTCGCTTCTCCGGACACTCTCCAGCCCCTCAATGTCTCTCTTCTTCTGAGAGGCCCAAAATTGCCCCCAGGATTGGAGATGACTCAGCAGTGCCAGCTCAGGAGAACAACCACTGCCCTGGGCCAGTGATTGGTACAAGACAATACCATTGGCCTCCTTGCCCACCAGGGCCCATGTCCAGCCACTGTCACCAGTACCCCCAGGACCTTTTCCAGCCACACTGCCCCCAGCCTAGAGCATTCATGGAGCTGCTGTAACCTAAGTGCAGGACCCAACACTTGGTCTTGTTGAACTCATACAGAAAGGCAGAAAACCATCCCATACAGGGCAGGTCACTGCTCTGGGCAGTGACACATGGTCTTGGTTAGTCCTGAGAAGGCATGCACCAGTCACCTTTTCCTCATGAATGAATTTGTGATGATGGGACACAACAAGCACAGAATAAGCCTAAAACATCACCAGGAAAAATCTCCAGGAGAAAAATCCAGGAGAACATTTTTAGATATGGGAAAAAACCCTTGTTCTGATCCAGTCTTGAACCTCCTTGCACAGAGAGGTGTTTGCTGCATTTTGAACACCAGTTTTATCTCCAACACCTCCTCTGGCTAGTCCTTAGCAGTACCTGTGTCCCAACTCCCATGCTGTCCCCAGCTCCAGAGGCACAAGAGGACCTCATTAGGCAGAACTTGGAGTCACACTGATCCAGGCAGGGAAATGCTGCACTGCCAATATTCCTAGAGACTCACTGTACTCTGTGTAATGAAATTCCCCCTCACAGCAGCTCTCCTAAATCACTCCCTTCCTGCTTGCACTGCTCTACCCCTTCATTTCTTCTCTCCCTTTTATGATGACACAGAATCCATCCTGTGGCTCCTTGGCTTTGTGCAGAATGCCACAGCACCTTGAAAAGCTTTTCATGCCCAGCTTTAGTTATAACTTATTTATTTATCTATTATTTCTCTGCTTTAAAACACTCCCAGCCAGTAGCAAAGTGATACAAAGTCAGCACTGTCAGTGTGGGACTCTGGGGTTGGTTCTGGTGATGGGGAACTGCACTTGAAGACTGGTCAAGATTTTTTGTGGTGGCAACTTTCCTTTATAGAGGGAAAAATAAACCATGCTCAGGGTTTCTTGCAGAAATGTTCCTGAATTGAGCAACTCCTTCAGGTTTCTGTTATACCATTAAGTAGAAACAGAGTTTTAAGGCAGGAGGATTCAGGTAAGTCACTGTGGCTGTTCTTTCCCTGCTAAAGACACATGAAATAGCCAAATAACCTGCCAAATAATCCCAAGAGAATGGGGTTACTTGGTAGGTTATTTGGTAGGACAATGGGGAAAGTTGTGTAGACATATTGAAGACACAACAAAACCCT